GTTAAATAATTATCCCAGAGATTGCCTTTACCGCGTGAACAAAGATAAGTAGAAGTCCCGAGCTCCGGTAAAAGGGTGAAGGCTAAAATAGACGACGATCGATTTTGCTGAATGCGGGCTGGATTCATTGAGATATGCGCTCGTCGGGGGTCAAATCGTACATTGACAAAAAAATGGTTAGTAGTACGACTATAAATACATGTTATCATAATTGAAGTTATTACTACTGTAATATTATTAATAACAATATATATAGTTCATATCAAATAAATATATATATAGGCATAATATAAATATATATATACATATATATATATATTGGCAGTTGAAAATAATTATACTATATAATATATTATAATTACCATAAAAATGGTAACAATTACTTATCTAACTATAATTTTTATGATCATTTTTTTGAGACAATTGGTCTGTTTTCGGTTCCTGCATTAGACTATACTAGAAGAGTGATATTTCATTTGTGCGTTTTTGTTTTCGAGATATTTGGTGTCTAACAATAAATTAAAATGGGATATGTATAATTTAATTAGCAATAGAAAATGAATATAATTACTATGAATATAGTTATTCTTATCATAAATGGTTGCAAACCACAATTTAACTATAACTGATAGTCAGTTTTTATTCTATTTTACATGAGATCTGTTTTTTGTGGCTGAACCAGTGTACACTTTTGGAGCTTAAAGCGAAATAGGTATATGAAAAATAACAAATTTTTCAAGCCTGTTGATTGGCTATGGGATAGAGATCCGAGGACCTCTCTGTTCTGTACACATTTGTCGTACGACAAAAACGCACAAATGAAATAACACCTGAACTTTCTTTCTCGCTTTCGACAAATATTAACATATACCTATTTCACTTTAAGCTCCAAAGGGTACACTGGTTCAGCCACAGAAAACAGACCTCGCGTAAAATAGAATAAAAAATGACTATCAGTTATAGTTAAATTGTGGTATTTGCAACCATTTATGATAAGAATAACTATACTCATAATAATTATGTTCATTTTCTGTTGCCAACTAAATTATACATGGTGTCCCATTTTAACTTAGACACCAAATACCTCGAAAACAAAAATATTTCAAATAAAAGTTATAAGGTTTGAAGAGGGCCACCAGATGCCAGTACATGTAATTATAATATCAAAAATTTTTCTGTCAATGTAGGAGGAGAGGATGATACAGCCTTGTGGCTATCAATTGGCTATCAAAAGTCATCCCGTCCCAACAGCACATTTTGCCCGGGCGTTATAACGGAAGGAAATTATCAGTGATATGTAATCGTCAAACAGTCATCATAACTAACGGTTGCTACTGAGAGAAGTTCGTCATCTTGAAAATCGGCGCTTGTCCGCCGAAGAAGGAAACGTGTCTGAAGCCTTCTTCCCCTTAATCTCAAACACGGCAGTATCATTGTGTGTACTCAAGAGATGTGTACTCAAGATACGTTCTGTTTACATAGTTAATATATGCCCTCATGGTCCGAAGTTTCGCGTGAATTCCACATGGATTTAAGTGACAGTCTATATATTGACAATGAGAGAAAAATACTTTATATTTATGATTATAATTATATGGTGAAATAATAATGGTTAAGAGTTCTATTTTTGTAGTTATTTTATTATATTATTATATATTATTATATTATAATTGTAATAATATTATATAGTAATAATTCTATTGTTGATAATTTTTTTGTAAATATATTTAATTGGCATCGAAAATGATTGTAAATTATAATCAAAATATGATAATTGTAACCATTTTCTTCTTTCAATGTATAGACTGTCCTTTCTGATAACCAAAGCGGACGAAGAAATACAGAAAAATGTTTGAAAAGTGCAATAAACTTGTATATTCGTTTATAATTATTAATTATATCTAATTATTTTCGGAGAGAACAATATGTTCTTTTTGGCATATAGATTGCATATAATAATTATAATTAATTATTATTACTAGTATTATATAGCAGTAATAATTATAAAAATAAAGCTTCTGGCCATAATTATTTTACTATGCAATTATAATAAAAAATACCAAGTACTTTTCTCTCAGTGTACAGATTCAATTAATACTATGATTTTTTATCTTATTTTTTTTTAATAATTGCGTTTGAAGATACACGCGAAAAAGCAACTAAAAGAATAAATTTTGTTGCACGAGCTCTTTTATCTTTTACGAATACTAAATTTTAAAACAACTAAATCTGCTACGTGTGTGAAAATTTTCGCGTTTTCCTTTTGCGTTTTATCATTTTCTTTTTTATTTGCATGCTATCAACACGCAACCTAAATAAAAATGTAAACGTCCTTGGTTTAATTAATTAAACCATCATAATCTGAGTGGAAGAACTTTATCTATAAAGTTCAAGGTACTGCTGAAGGGTACTTCATTCTCCTCGAAGAGATTTTTATAGATCATTCTTCAGAAGAGTTTCAAACAAATCATACTTAATCAAATTAAAATTAAAAGATATTCGTAGGAAAAAAAGGAGTGAAGATTTCATTTTAATTTTTTGTTCGCCCACATGCTTCAATAATGTGGCGATAATTATATCAAACAGCTCGAAGAAATACTCTTAAGATATTATCGTTGCTCGAAAGAAAAAATACGGAAAAAACATTTCTTCAGCTTTTTCTGTTAAGTATGTATTTTGATATGGGCATAATATCTGATTATCTCGAAATAAAAGATCCGCTTTTGCAATCGCGGGCGCAATCCGGTTCGATAGCGAACATCATTCTCGAATTAATATATGAGAGTGATATTTGCATGCGATCGCAATTTTTGTTTAAAAGTGGCCGTGTATTGAAATTTACGTGTTTTTTAGACCGATCTGAAATTCTAAAGCCGTATTCCCCCGCTTACGAATATCTGATGAGCCAGAATACGACTTGTAAATAAATCACGGTGACTCTATACATACTTTTCCCCATCAAATTTCTACAGAAAATTTTAATTTCTCTATATTTTTTTTAAAAAAAAGAACAATATACATTAAGAGAAAAAAATTATTACAGTTATATAATTATAATTTAATTATACTTTATAGTTTTAGTTCATTATTATTTAATTTTGATTTTTAATTCAATTAAGATTAAATAAACTTCATTTTTCAAAATAATTTATAGTCACAAATACAAAATATATTTATATAATAATTGATTATATATATTTTTAATTATTTAATAATACAGATTCATACCAAACTTTTTTCTTAGTGTAATGTTTTCGTTCCGTTTATTAATATAAAAAAGAAATTACGAAGATATCGCAGAGAAGAGAAAGTACCCATTCACTTTTGATGCGCGTAATATCAATGCGAGCGTAATATCAATATTTTATATATAATTCTAATTAACATTCTTGCGTATGCCTGATGCGCAATTAACGTCCCTGATTCTCCTCCTTCCCAGTATCAAAAATAGCGTGTTAATGATCGCGCAGGTCGGAGAAAAGACTCCAGAAATCGAACATGCGTGGTACGAGAGGCCTATCTCTTTTCCACGTTTCGCTCTCTACCTTCCTATGCGATATCTTTTTCTTTTCCTTTTTAAAAGTCTGAATGTTTTCGTCTTTCAAACGCAACGAGCAAAATACAGTTGAAAAGAAGTTCTTTCTAGAATCATTTTCTGTTTGGATAAGATTATCAGTATTCTTTTAAAACTACATGTACTCTTCTTGAGGTCTCATAGAACTTTCCTAATTATTAATTAAAAGTTTATATATTTATAAAATTATATTAATAAGAATTGTCAATCAGAATTATATTTTAAAGGTATTTAATAAACTAATATGTTCTACAAAATAGAACATATTAGTTTATTAAATACCTTTAAAATATAAAAAATTATACCCCCTCCTCAGTCCTCTTACGGAATTTTTTTTTTATATGTGCAATGTACCGTTTTCTTATGTGATTCAGATATGGTAACTCTACTCCAAGAGATATGACGATTACTATTATTACACTCTCCAGGAGCTCCATTGTCCACTCAGGTAGCATTCCAAAGCACGCGTTCCTGAACAGAGACACATTTCGCAGAACTGTCGCAAGATTATAGCGAGAAGCGTGAAGTGGAAATCCTGTGGAAATCCTACAAGTGCAAGCACGTATTCAAGAGGCGACACAATCGACTTCGATTGCTTTAATTGCCACGTCAATGTACATGTCAATGTGGAAAGGAGAATTAAACCCGACGTTCCGCGGTCGATCTCGTTCAACCATGCCCGTCTGAGAAATTGCTTAATGCCGAGGATTCGCGAGACCAATGGAGAGGGCAAGTCGCTCGCTTCTCGCCTTCTTTCGCGAAAGCAGGCAAATAGGAAAAGGTGAGCAACTCGTCGTCTCCCTATGTGGTTTCGCGCGTGTCCTCGCTGTGAATCAACAGCGGGAATGGCCACGAAATCGCATCGAAATCGGAGCAGGCGACACCCTGTGACGTCGAGACGTCCTTTTCCCTATCAAGAATTCCAACAATCGGACGACAAATTCCATTTTTTATCAACGTTTTCTCCTCAACTTGAAAATTGGAGATACGGAGAGAAAAAAAATAGTACCAGGCCGTTCCAGTGTCAATTAAAATTTAAAAAAATGATCGAAATGCCGGTGAAAGGATGGCACTTGACAGACATATCACTGCAAATCCGAGTGTGCAAAAATAACATTATGCTGCATAGAAATATGGATTTATATTATACATTCAAACGTGTATCACGGTGCTATTTTTACACGGAAGACTATCTCTTTAAATTCTTTCGAGTGGAATCTCACTCTAAAGAATGAAAATTGAGGCAGTCTTGAAAAAGAATGGCTCAATGTCAATCCTTAAGAGTGAGATTTCACTTTTCAGAGTGAAATTCGCTTTAAAAGTTTTAGGAATGAAATAACATACGTATATACAAAGTGACTTTTTCCACACTTAGACTTGGATTTACAGTGATATCGGTGGGGGCAAACTTTCACTCTCTACTCACAGTCGAGATGCTTCTTCTTGGGACCGATCATCTCCTCCGTAGTGGCCTTACAAACGGACTTGGCGAGGCCCTGGCCGGCGATACTGTGCCTCGCGGCCAACAGCCTGTCGTTGATCGTTTGTCCCGCCATACTGTCCCGCTGTCACAGAGCAGTGGTAGCAGAAGTCAGCAGCAGTTAACGTTTGCGGCGAAGATCGCGTATCCTCCCCCGACAATTCTTCCTGGCTTAGTCTTATTACTCTCGGTGGAACGAACGACGAAAGGATCGCGCGACTATGATGGTTTCAAGGACGAAAACGAGGACGAGGAGTTTCTCGAGGGGTTTCCTCGAGAAACGATCGCGAGAAACGAGGTGAAGTTGGCCGTCCTTGACGCGACGCGGACGAACGGACGGGAACGAGACTACGGGAGTTCGGGAGCACTCTGGGTTAACTTCACTTCGACGACACCACGACACCACGACACCACGACACGATCACGATCACGATCACGATCACGATCACGATCACGATCACGATCACGATCACGATCACGACACGATACGACACGATACGACACGATACGACACGACACGACACGACACGACACGACAGAGCCGTAGACGAGGCGCTTACCGCGCGAGGCGTCCGCGACGTCCCGCTCACCCCGATATTATACTCGGCCCGTCGCGCGTTGCTTTTCCGGTCCTCCGGCACCTCTCCTCGTTCACTCCCTGCTGCTCCTCCCCCTCTCCTTTCCCCGCCTCTCTTCGTCCGCCACCACCACTTTCTCGGGCCGGTTCCTACGTTCGCGTAACGGAGCGAACGATAGCCCGCCGCGATTTTTCTCCGCGTTCCACCAGCAGCGGAGCCAGGCAGCTCACGCTCAGCTTTAACGGCTCAGCTGGACGGCGTTACGTCGGAGGCTGACGGCGACAGCAGGCTCCTTCTATCTGTCAAGATGGCGGCCGCGCTCAGTGCCGACCCGACTGCCGATCGCGGCGCGCGCCACCCCGCGCCGACTCGGCGGACCAATCACAAGCGCTCGCCGCCGGCCCCGCTGTGTGACGTCATTCCCGTCATTCTTACTCGGAGCAACCGAAATTTGAAGATCAAACGAAAGCGACGCAAGTCGTTCGAATCAATACCGATTCTTCAATATTTTGTTTCGTTACTGGAGAAACGAAATTATACTCGGAATGAAATTTTTTTATGACTTACAAGCGATATTGGTAACGCGATTTCCTAAGCTGCTCCGACACCGACCATCGATTGAAAATATAGTGTGAAGTTAGCGCTCGTCCGTTGTAGGCATAGTTACCAACGTGCGAATTGCAATTCTCTAAAAGTTCATGATCGAATTAGGGAAAGTATTTCGAATTCAATTTTTTTATTGTTTACAATTCTTTTCTAAATATGAGACGGTTTGGCAATGAAAAAGACGAAAAACTTTCAAAATTTTTTTTCTGTATATATGAAAGTCACTCATTCATGTAAATTCATACGTTTCCATCGCTAATTTTGAAGAACAATAGAGAGGGCGTTAGTTCACGGAAAATATTTGCAGTTTCAATTCATGCTTCTTACAGAAATTCACATCTAAGTTTTATTACAAAAGATTTATGATGAATCAAATAAATGTTCTTCCTTGATATATATATATATGTATTGATATCTTAAAAAATAAATGCGTTCAAGCAGAACAACAAATTATGAGAACGTCAATAACATTAAAATAAATTATAAATTGAAAAGTATAATTTAATAAGTATTTATTTTAGAGCAATTTTGACATTATTTTGATTTTATGATGACTTGTGATTTGCTTTTTAAATATCATCGCGATACGTTAATTTTCAATCAATTTAATTTCAAAGTTATAGGAACAAAATAATTATGATTCGACTAAAAATCTTTTTGTTATAAAATGACGGTTATATATTTCAATAATATTTGATAAAAATATAAACAAAAAATGCGACATTTTAAATTGTAATTGTTCAGTATTAAATATTTCAAAAAAAAGTATATAAACAAAAATAATTTGACTAAAGATCCTTTTGTTATTATATTAAATAACAGCTTTAATAATATTGTATTAGGTGTTGGAATTAATTCGTAGCGTTTTTAATGAAAGAATGTTATTTATTTCACATGAGCATTAAAAAATACATTAATGAAAGTACTTCCCATCACTTGTAAAACGCTACGAATTAATTCCAACACCTAATAGTTTAATACTTCAATAATTTTTAATAAACGTAATTTAGAGTTATACCTTCATTGTTTGCGACTCTTTCCAAACAGGTAGTTATGTTTTCATCGCACATTTACGTGTTCCATGTTTTTTTTTCGTCATTTCTCATTGATTGCACAACTTTGATCCGGTTTTTGATTTGTCCTTCAATGACAATAATATTGGACAATCAAACGATTCATAATCGTATATCGTGATCAATGCAACGCATATATTTCTTGTATATATTGGGTCATTTAAAAAGTATCCGCGGTACTTTGTCACTAGATGACCATCAACACACATCTAGTGACAAAAAACCGCGGATACTTTTTAGATGACCCAATATTTCGAAAAAATAATATGCCAAAAGAATAACATGAAATAAGGCAAAAAGAATTTTGATTTTGTGCACAAAAATGAATCGCCGATCGACTGCGAAAAGTTTAGTTCAAAAAACAATATAGCGAGGCGTCGAAAATGATTGTGGCAACACTAATTAACAATAATAAGTAAATTAGTTCATTCGTATTTTCTGTATGTTTAATATGTGAAATATCTAAACAATTAAATGTGCAACCAATCAAATTTTTATATTTTGTATACACATAGTTGCCAAAAATTTTAGTTTTTAAATTTAAAATTTGAATTTTTAAATTTTAAATTTTAAATTTAAATTTATCATGAACCCGATAGATATATAGAAATAATTGAAAATCACCGTGTGACCGATAATCGGTGACTAAGTTCACGACGTTACAGCGACCTGCCTGCAAAAATATATAAACGAAATTAATTTTTTATTGTTACAGAAAAAAGATTAGAAATTAGAGACAAATATATCGTAATTAGAATTGTTATATATACGATTCTGTTTATAATAATTATCTAATTCAAAAAGAGTTTGGCTAAAATCGCTTTTGTTATATATTGCGCGTTGTTGCGTCATTAGATTATATTTATATTAAAATAATATCTCGAGATAATAAACCATTTTATTAATGAAATTTTAAAACCAAATTTAAAACAATGTTAAATATTATATTAGATAAATAAATATCAGAAAAAACGAGATCGGAAAAATAATCTTATTTTAATTGCTAAAATTTACTAATTTATTTAATTGAAAAATTTTTCAAATTACCAATTTATTTAATTTATTTAGTTTTATCTTACCAATTTATGTAATTAATAAAAAAATAACTCCGCATCGTTATTTTTCAGAATTTTGATCAAATTATAATTAAATTAAACGATGATTAATTTTTTAAACCTTTTTACTATTTTTTGTCGTAAATAAAATATCGTACGAGTTCTTTATATATGAAATCTATGTGGCTGTGTTCCAAATTTCGTTGCTAATCTAGTGCTGAAAATTTATATAGTGCACATAACGGCTGTGGTCAAAGTCTGTTACAAAAATGCTTTAAAGCGTTTGATTGACTAATTAGAAGAAAGAATGTTACAAATTAACTAATCAAAAACCGCTTGAAAGCATTTGTAATACCGCGTTGGCAATACTTGCGTGTAAATTATAGATTTTTAGCTCTGGCAGTGAATTTTTTTGGAGCAGCACAGCTATATCGGTCCCTGGAACGTGACTGGAGCGCCAATTGAAGTCGACCCGGTCGACCGCGCGACGAAGCGTGCTTTGCGACTCGGAGCGCGGTTCACTCCGATTCAGTGCGGCGAAGTTGGCCGATAAGCGTGCGTGTGCGCGTCCTGCACTCGCGAAGTTGGAGATCTAAAAGACGTTCGGCCGAAAAGCGTAGAATTGTGGCGCGTGTAGTTCACATTTCTACTAAATTTTCTGAATCCCGGCTGATCCCAGTCTCGATTATCAAGATTCTGCGACACACGTTCCGCGCGATCAGGAGGATGACGACGGCGGTTGACAAGGAAGAAGCGCGGAAGCGCCTGACGCCGCTGCAGTGGCATGTGACGCAAGAGAAGGGCACGGAGAGGTGAGGGTCACATGTGCGGAATTTGGAAATCATGCTACTGATACCGGCGTCCTCGAGAACGCTCCCCCAGGGATTTGCTCACGGTGACGGCGACGATGACGACGTGGTGTCGAACGGTTTCTGTTTTAGTGGCCAAGATAATCCGAGCGAGATCGCACCGGATCCGGTTCAGTTTATAGCCCAAGCAGGACAACAGGTCACGATAACGTCAAAACATGACATTAAAATCATCTGAAAAGTAATTTTTAGTAATAATTTTAAAGTCATTTTGATATAACTTTTTTTTATTCTGCTTGGAGTCTTGTTATGAGGAACCGATTTGGGAATGAGTTTCTTTTGACGATGTTCCTAAAGAAAATTTGCCATACGCCAGCCTACTCGAAGCGGAAATCTTATTCTTCCGTTAACAATTGTGACCTACTTCCTGTTATCGTGCTCCGCGAGGAGACGTCAGCTGATTCTGTAATGGGCGATCAAAGCGCAACGTGGAGTTGCGCAACGTATAATTATATTGCTGACACAGACGGATGTTATTTGTCGTCTGCTCCATATTTACGCAATCTGCCGGGTGGATTCTTGCGGTTTGGCTTGATTATTTAGAAACGTTCCGCTTAAATTCCAAGCAAGTTGAATTTACTGAAGTATATAAAAATAATTATTAGAATACACTATGTATGTTCGTCCGATACGATTTTATGTGTGTAAAAATTAATAACGCAATAGTTATAATATATTAACAATTAATATATTATTCTAATAATAATCCTACACAATATGAAATATTTCAGAAGTTTTTTCAAAATATTTTACTGCAAGCTCTGAAATATTTCAGAAATTTTTTATGAAATATTTCTAAAGTGTATAATTGTTCAGGAAATCAGAGTTTTTGAAATATTCTTTTTTTCAAAAAATTTCTAAAATATTTTAGTGAAACAGTTTGCAATATTTTAAAATGTTTTACAATTGTTTATAAAATATTTTTGAAATATTTTATTAAAATATTTCAAACAATTATTCACATAAATATTTCACATAAATATACTGTGTAGGGTATTACATCAATATTATAATTTCCCACTCAATAATATAACTTTCATACTATTTCTCACGTTGCATGTCGCAAATAAGATGACAACGTGACATGATTCACTATGACTGTCGTGAATTCAAGGTAAAAAGACACGAATTTCCACGCGCTCGTTCAAGCGTTCAAGTTAATCTTGGACGAGGAACACCGAAATAACTTTTTCAAGAGCGTCCCTTCGTATGTTTACGCGTGAACGGTCTCATGGCCAACAGGTTTAAAAATAAACTATATGTCTCATGATTTGTGACCTCCCTCTTTCCCCTTTCCATCCCTAATATTGCCACTTCATCATCCCCTGACTCATTTGTTTCATTTGGTGCAGGCCGTTTACCGGTTGCTACAACAAGTTCTACGAAAAGGGAACGTACACCTGCGTTGTGTGCGACCAAGAACTGTTCTCTTCGGACACCAAATACGACAGCGGATGCGGTTGGCCTGCATTCAACGAGGTTTTGGATCAAGGACGCATCAAACTGACCAAAGACACCTCTCATGGTAAGCGAGCACCATTACGATTTACCTTCGTTAGCGTATCTTTTGTAATTATGCTCGCGTTCTTAGAATGCCAATTCACACCTCATGTTCATTTAAACATTGCACAATAGTCGGCAGGTATACATTCAAATTACTTAGAATAGGATATCTCGTAAATAAGTTTTCGATTCCAATGTTGTACCTGCTTGCTATTTACAACATCATCATAATCGCAACGTATATAAGGGATGAACAAAATAATATAAACACCTGAAACATATTATCTACTTGTTTTATTAATATAATAAGAATTAGGATTCGCAATTTGTCTTTAATATAAATTCTATATTGTTAGAATAGAATCATACATGCTTGAATATTGTAGCAACTACTACAGTGCAATATTTTATCATTCTTCTAGTTAGCAAAACATTTAATTGCTTAAAAGATATTGAAGAAGAAAATATGTTTCTCACTCTGTTCTTCAAAACTATTAATAATATTTGAATCAGTTACAGTTTTTGAAAACAGAACAATTTTAGGAAATAGAAAAGAAAATTTTCTCTTCCTTTTTTTTATCAATAAAATAAGTAGAATATATTATAAGTAGATGTTCATATTATTTTGTTTTCTTGTATCATAATTGTACACTTGCATAACATTACTGAGCCTATCCTGGTCACATTTCATTCACTTTCTGCACCTATCCAAAGTAGAAATCTTTATATTGAGTTTCTCATAAGATTCAATTTTCCATAAAATTATCGCAAATTAATTCGTAGCAAAAATTATGATTATATTGTCACTCACTCCTCGCGCCTCATTGATGAATGTAAACATTTTCTTGTGTACATAGATATCAGCTTAAAAATATTTCTTATAATAAAAACAGGAACTGTAGTATTCATTTATAGATGATGTATTTTTCTCTACTGTAAATATAATATTATGTATATTAGCTGAAATTTCCTGTTTTCCTCGGTTCCTGCATGTACTTGCTTAGAGTGTGATTGTGTTAGACTTACATCACTTTTTCTATGAAACTAATACGCTAGCTGTATATTATGAAACATTGGAAATATGACCAATAGGCTAGATATAAATATCTTATCGTGTCAAGAACTGTTTATGAACATAAAATTATCGACTGCTCGATAAACATAACATTCTTTCATTTAGTTTGCCTAAGAGTAATAATGTAATAATGTCTTCTTTTTACTCGCAAATCCTTAATGCATATAGATCTCATTTTTTGGAAGCATTCGATGCAAATAAAGTTCCTCCGCTTTTAAATTACGCCAGTTGAAATAATATTTAATTATTTGCAAGTGTGTTTCAATACTCACAGCTATATGAACTTACAATGTTTCTATGACGTAAGTAAATATTTAATAAAGATGAATATGCCGTATAAAAGTTAAAAAGTATATATATTAATTACAAATATAATGTAGAGGAGATTGTGAGTGCTTTTCAGCAAAGAAGACAACATTGTGTAACACAGTATGTAGCATTACGTGCTTTTCAACTATATAGCATAAGTCTACACAATCGTACATAGCTAAAATGCTGTATCCGACTATATCGTCATTTTAAATTACTTTATGAATACCAAATTTTTATATTTTATTACCATTTATTTTTCTAGTAGTGAAATTCTGATGAGATTTTAAGATTACATTCAGATAAATTTGGACATAGATATAAGACCTTTTTTTTGATTTCACTTTGGCGGTGAAATAAAACAAGCTAATTAACGTTTCGGCTACGATACTGTGTCACACAGTATATGATGTATTAGGTGTTGGAATTAATTCGTAGCGTTTTACAAGTGATGGGAAGTACTTTCATTAATGTATTTTTTAATGCTCATGTGAAATAAATAACATTCTTTCATTAAAAAACGCTACGAATTAATTCCAACACCTAATACTTCGTTGTGGAAAAGTACCCTACCTAGATAAGTTGGGACATACTAATTATTCTTTTAATATTAACGAGATTTTTAATATTAGTTGCTCAGTTATGTTGCTTTAGTTAATGTAACTGAACAGCCAACATTAAAAATCTTGTTATTATTAAAAAAATAATTAGTGTAATCCAAAGTACAATATGTCTTTAGGTATGCCAGTCTTCCCTATACAGTATGTGATTGCATAATTTTCGATATTGTCAAGTAAGCGTACTATTGAATTGGAAGTGTATAACAAATAATAATTAACAAGCAAAAATTAGATATAAAAAATAAAAATGTATATATTGAATGAAATCGTCATATATGTACACACTTCTTCATCATTATTCTTTTAGTGTCATATGAATGTTAACTGTCTCCTCATGATTGGCGGATCAATCTTTAGTTTGATTTTCTTCTCATTTCAAGATCTTTTAGATCGCTTCTGTTCACTTCTTGAAAATTGTATCCATGAAAAAAGGGTGTCTGTCTGCGTCTAATCACACTCTATTGTTCTTTCTCCTCTCGTCCTCCCTGATCAATCTCCTGGCTACTACCACCACTGAACCACTTCACTCTCATCACTGAAAAAAAAACAACACCACTGAAAATCGCGCATCACGTCGAATTAAACGACGCCAACTAGTCGGCGGCAATCTACTACTGCTGATCGCAAACCCAGATATGGTGCGGACCGAGGTGACCTGTTCGAAATGTGATGCACACTTGGGGCATGTGTTCAACGATGGGCCGAAGCCTACGAGGAAGCGTTTCTGCATCAACTCCGCCTCCATAAGCTTCCACTCGGTGGGAGAGGAGAAATCTACGTAAAATCAGCATGCGCGTTTATCACATTCTATATTTTACTATATAATATTTATACGAGAGTTGTGTCTCGTGTTATAAATATTAAAATATCTTCGTTTTATTTATGTATTGTAAAAAGAAATAAAGTAATAATAATTATCGTCGAGATAAATAGGCTATCTGTAAGTGAGTTTATTATTATAAGGAATATTTAACATTTTATTATTGCTGATGATGTGCTATTAGCAAACGTTTCTACGTCGTTTACTACATATGACTGATTGTAACGTTCGATTGTATATGATTTTCGTAATATATTCGCAAAAATATTCCTTTCTACATTAAAGCGTCTACGTAAATTAAGGAATATACTGTTGATGTGACTATAAAGCGTTTCCGACTGACATTTCACTCGCGACGAGAAGCTAATTCCATACTATCAGTTCTCTTAAATCTCATTGTGTACTCTCTGCTTTCGATATTACAAACGTACATGTACATATCCGTATCAAAGTGTAAAAAAGTATAGCACCCACGCAGGATGTATGTATCACATGAGAAAGCGTGACACTAGACAGATAATACAAATTGAGAGATATTATTTTTTCAATGAACGCCATAATGTAAATACCCTATCTACCTTAATATATTAAATGAGGAACAAAATATAGCAGTCATCATTTCTCGTTCCTCTTACTCGTAATATCTCGTAATATCATTAGGCAGGACAGGGTGTTTTGTATGAAGAAGAGAACATGTTTGTTATAAAATGTTTCCTTATATTGTAACGTTTCAAAACAAACTGAAAGGTGTTATAATACAATATACGCAAAATTCTAGGCGTTATTTTTACAATTCATTATTTCCTTTCTGTTTTTTTTTTTGCATTCCCTCGCCTTTTGAAATTTTCATTATAAAAATTTCACATTTCTTCCTGAGAGACCAGATTTCTGTCGAATGGTTTCCGATCGCGATAAATGCTTTTTTTTTCTTACAAAAGTTAAAGGATGAACCTTCCGTCATCAAGGAAGGATCAAAATCGAAGATTTCCTTTTTTTTCAATCTGCAGTAAAATAGCGACTTTATTACTATAGGCCTACTTCTTTCTTTCGCTCGGAGATCACAAAGCATTTTCAAAAACATCGTAAAATGCTACAGTAAAACATGCATACACACATTTAACATGATTCGCGTATTAGGAACCTATTTTTAAAAATCTAAAATGACGATAAAAATACACGTGGCGCACATAGCGGATTATTAAATGCAATTGGAACGATCATTATATGGATGCGCAAACGGATGCAAAGTTGCCAGCATTTTCGCGTTATATTAAAAGATTCGCCTGCCCGTATTTTTCTCAGAGCTTCTCGTACATTTTTCTATACGTTTGCGATGCGTTTCTATTCGTTTGTCAATGTCAAAAATAATGAGTACTTTCGTAGTGCATCACTTATTATTATTACGATAAGGCATGTCTGGTACAATTTTTGTACTTTTGTTCGCACGATAAAAGGATTATACTGTTATCACAGCGAACGTGTCTACATGCTAAGATGCGCTTCAATCGGGTTGTGCGTCGATAGGGGTAATAATTTTTTGTGCAGGCAGTTTTGCATCTCGCGCGACCCGATTTGCAAATAAAAAAAAATTATAAACATTAATAGCTGCTAATAGCTGTACTGTTAAAATAACTATCGCGAAAAAAATAACGAAAATATGAAGGTCCCCAGTAAACATCACCTAAAAACTCAACAATGTAACTTATGTGACACAAGTGTTACATTATGTTGTTGAGTTTGAAATTATAATTATATACTGATGTGTTATGTTATTTTAATTGATGTTTGCTGAGTCTCTATCGCTCCGAGATATTTGTGAAAATGCAGGACTCCGCGTCTTTTAATGTTTCTGATCGTTAACTTTAACCCTGGATCGCACCATTATCTTTTTTTTTTACACACTCATACTTTTCTTTCATTAATACTAAGACGTGCGCAAGTTACTTTATCTCTTAACTTGTCATAGATCGATTTTAGAGATGGAAGCCGAAGCAGAGATTAATGCCGAGCAATATTTGTAATACACATTTGCGGAATACTGAAGAAGCACGAATTTATAATTTATATACTCTATTTCATAGTCCCTGATTCATTAAAGATGCGTCGCATTAAGTTCCTTCGGTATACCAGCCCTAAATTCGATCATAAGCGTTGATACAAACTGAGCTGCTTCTTCTCCCTATCTCGATCAAGTACAGTCAGACATTATAAAAATCTAATCAGGCTTCTTTCAAAAAATGATACTACAAAAAAGGAGAAGAAAACAATAAAAACTCATCGAATATTGAATATACCTTATCATATTCTTCTCATTATCAAATAATATATGGGTTTCCTCTTCTTTTCTTCTTCTTGTTTCGTATGCAATATAAGTGTATCGTTAATTTCTCGATTTATAACTATCATATTTATATTCTTACAAAGTCTGAGTTAATATTAATTTATATATGAGTCCTATACATATATGTATAACAAAAAATCTCATTGATCGATCTATCCATCCACCGCACGAAAACTGGAAGTGCGTGCCTCTCGCAAACTCTCGAAAGGGAAAAAGAATAACATCGAAATCGGAATTAATTATTAATCCGGAATAGAATGCGAATATTCTAGATGTTTTTTTCTCAGTCGCGACATATCTTTTTCCTGCCATTCGTGAATAGCTCTCTCACACAGTTCTAACATCCTAAATTCTTATACTTGAGATAGAAAGCACTAATACGAGTCAATTTATAATGTTATGGAACGTACAAAATAAATTTTTTTTTCTTCTTTAGTTAAGTAGACTCGTCTGCATGTGTGTCGAAGAAGTTGATCATAACCACAATATAATAAAATCAATGAAAACATCTAAAATGTTTTAAATGAATACAAATATTTGTTAAAAATAATCATGAAAAGCGTACAGAGAGAAAAAATTTGCTATGAATGCTAATCCTATGCTATGATAGTTTTTTTATTTGCATATATAAGGATCAATTATTTACAGGAAAGAATAGACAAATGTTTATTCTTTCTTGTACTCGCTAACAAAAATTACTTGCAATTGTAAAATATTTGTCAAATATACAAATTTGTTTGCTATAAACAAACAAATTTGACAATTAAATTTTGTAATCTCTTTACGTTTATAGCAAATTTTTTTTTGTGCGATAATTCAGAAACTTTTACAAATTTTAGGTTCACACTCAATGACTTTTCTGATAAAAACAAGAATTGAGAACCTTAAGATTACAAATCTCGAAGTAATATGACTCTTAACTAAATAATCATGGTGTTTCTTAGAAGAAAATCCAATTTGCAATCGTTGCTTATTTTGTGGCCACATAAAGATGACTTAACTCATTATCTTATTACTTCTATTGATATGTTATGCTAAAAAATATTATATTTTACATACAGAACAGTAAAGAATTTATATATTCTGCTGATTGGCTTGTATTAGCTCATTCTTTCCATCTTTCATCTTAATCAAAGACTTTATCACTCCTTTCATTTTTTTTCTTTCATTTTTAGTTTCATTCAGTGGATGTCCTGATCGAATAATGGATACGACGTAAAATGAAAAGAATAAAAAAAAACAAGATACGAAAATCTACGAGTCATGATATCGCCTAAAATAACTAAATACTTCCAATATATTCATTTTTCGATGACACGATGACATTCGGATGACATATAATACAACATTAGGAAAGACGTATCTCGATAATGTTCGATGCAAATACAACCATACATACAGAACCACAATTCGTTCTACACAAAACGTCAATTAAATTCCAATATACATATGCGTGTTCGATTATTTGTTTCTTCCTCACGGTGCTAAAACGAAATATTACATGTCGTTATACATATTCATAAGAAATCTAGCGCGAGTTTTCTTTTTTTTTTCTTCACGTCTCTAAACGACAAGACAGGCACTTTATAGTGTCACAAAATGCTCCTACGTCTGAACTTTGTTTTACAGTTTCATTGATCTTTCGTTCTCCCTCTTTTTTACAAGACACGTTAAGAACCATTATATTGGACTTACAGCGAAGAACACACGTGATGTGGACAAGCGTCCTCGGAGACATGTTCTTATCAATTAAGTAGTAAACCATGGTAGTAAGTTCAATGTTTTAACGTGTCTTTCATTCGCTCCTTTCTTTTCTTTAATGATACAAATGAAGGAAAGTACTCATCTCTTCATCGTAAAGCTCTAAATTAGCGGCCTCAAATGAGATATGCATTTTTTACGCGATTGGTAGAGCACATGTAAACCAATTTCTTTACATTGAATGCCAACATAAAAAAATTGCGATATTTGTAAACGAGGAATTTGTTCAAACAGTTTCTCTTTTAATATAAGAAAACTGAATCAATAACGGATCAGATATTCAGCGATTCAGAATGCGATTCTCTTAAAAATGTTTAAAACAAATTAGGCTACCGCTTACACATCTATCGTCGCACTAATAGATAAAACACACTGAAAACATATTGCTCTGCTTCATCGTAACTTCCGTCGAAAAATACAAGTCCGACACGAAGATCAATCTCCTTTCTCTCTCTCTCTACGATCTCTCGTTAAACAATAATATTAGAATAGGTCCTATGTATACTTGTTCACATTTCTTTGTGGTATTATCTAATAAGGTTCTCACTATAAATAATATGCGTTTTTTTTTTGCTAACTCCAATCCTTTGAATTTTCTCTTGCTCTTTTTAGAGTTAGTAATACTAGTTTTATATTTTTAGAAAATAACTGACAATTGCTTGTGTTTCCTCGATGACAATCCATCCGAATTGCGGCAAAAGCACGTCACAGGCAACAGTAGATACGGTAAAGCACATACGCGTTCCATTTTGTCTCTTTCTTTTTCTATTTCCTTCAAAAACTAAGTTAAGACTTTGTGAGTCCATTGCACTCAATTGTAATTATGAATTTTATCGAGGAAAACAAGGCCTCTGCCGTCAGATCGCTCATAGCTCTTTTCTGATTTAACTTTGTGTTTGTGCTCGCAACGTGCGAGAATCGAGCATTTCTTTTTTTAAAAACTCTTCGCGATCATTTTTCCGATACTTCATCACGGTATCGAATAAGTTCTATCTATCTATCTATATGACCTATATGCGTACGTAATGGATATATGCATGCATATGTGTATATATGTATACATATGACATAATATAATATTCACATATGATAGTTTATATTCATTATTTATTATATATTATTGAATTATTGTGCCGTTTCCGTTTTGGGAGGGTGATTCATTATTTCCTTCTTTTCCTCTGCATAACCATACTCTTGGAGTCACTCTTATAAATCTACAATCTAAACGCCACTGTCTCTTAATGACCTTTGGCAGCTTCCTTCGCCGCCATTATCAAAGGTGTTAACGAAGCTAGTGGCCTCGCTAATTTCAAAAAAGGATGCTGCAATGCAATTTAAATACATATTTCCGATTAAATCAATTTGAACGGTAGAAATATGCGTATATATGTCAGAAACGCATTTTCACGTTTATTAACGAAAAAAATTTTATTCTTACCTTTAATAATTCGGAAGCTGCGGACCGTTTCTCCACCTCGACTTCTAAACACTGGTCCAGGAAGTCTTGGAATATACCCGACAGTTTATCCTTTTCCTTGATTTCTGGTTTACCGTTTGTCGCAATCAAATACAACGCTCTCAGTGGATTTTCATTCAAATACGGCGGTTCTCCTTCGATCATCTCGATTGCCATTATTCCCAATGACCATATATCAACCTATGAAACAGAGATACATTATTACGATTAATAATGTAACACGGATTCAATTCACTTTTTAGGGTGTTTACTGATCTTCGCTGAAAATTTTTGAATTTTTCAGACAAATTTTAGGTAAAAGTAGGTAATTTTTTAAATGCAACTTTGAAATAAAGAGAAATTAGAATGAAAGTAATGCAAATATATTGAAAATTAGTAGAAAACAAGGATTCCACGAGATTATATCATTGTTTAAGAAATCTATAAGATAGTCTAAGAAAGAATCGCTACAATATAATATCAGTGAGTTACTCTGTTGAGTATTGTCTTCTACAGTTATACTTATTTTTTAGATAAAAAATTTATACATGAAAATGTAAGCGTGAATATACACATGCTATAGTTATTATTAATTGTCAACATTTTCCATTATTAAAAAATAATATTTTCGGAAACAGATGGAATTAGAATAAATAAAATTTCAGAAATTTCTCTGAGTACCGAAAAAATTCCATGAAAATCTTTGATTTCGGAAGTGTTTAAATTTTTTTTTAATAAAAGCGAATCTCCTGAAAATTCTGGATTTTCCAAATAGTAAAAATCTTGTTTTTATTAATAACAATCGATATGTCGATATGTATATATATATATCTACTTATATATATCTACCTTAGGTCCATATTGCTTTCGCGTTACTACTTCCGGCGCCATCCAATACGGTGTGCCAACCATCGTCGTTCTTTTGCTCTGTTCCGGTGATATTTGCGCGCAAAAGCCAAAGTCCGTTAACTTTACTCCACCATCAAGACCCAATAGAATATTATCAGATTTGATATCCCTATGTATAACCTGATTACAATGAAGGAACTCGAGCGCTTGTAGTACTTCTCTGCACACTGCGGCAATTTGACCTTCGTCCATACAAGTCTCAGTCACAACATCCGTTAAACTGCCACCTGGCAAATATTCCATGACTACCCACAGTTCTTCCCCGACTAAATAACTATCCAAGTAATTTACAACATTCGGATGCTTGTTCTCCCGCATTACTAAAATCTCATTTATTATAAGCTCTTTCTTTGGCTGTTGCGACAGATTCATTTGTTTTATTGCAACTTCCATGCCGGTTGATGTTTCTATTGCTGTGTATACTGTCCCCGAGGCACTGCAAGACGATCGTTAATTAGTACTGATCAATACAGTTTTAGATTCAATCATTTATCGGTCGTTACCCGCTTACCCTTGTCCTATTTTTTCCATTTTCGTATATTTTCTATTAGGATCTCCTACGCTCACGATTGTTCTAAGTTTCTCTAATATCTCATCGTCTGACATCTTCTTCTTTCTAGCTTTATCGCCTTGCGCCGGTCGCGTCTGATCAGTCGTTGTTGATGTCGGCGTTGCTTGATTCTTATTTCTATCTAATTGCGACTGGTGTTGTTGTTGCTGCATGCCATTTCGTTGTGGCGAGCCCAGCGTAGTCGTCAAGGGTGGCGGTGGTTCCTCTTCTATAGGTTTTGTGTACTGGATAGTAAAATGTTCCAGATAGTAAAATGTCACAAATAACAAAACTAATCAAACGCGCATCTCTTAATCGTGTTCAAGCACGAAGAAAAAAACTTACGATCGATTTCGTGCGTTCTGGTCGGGCGGAGATCGGCGGAGGTGGCGGCTCGTCCTCCTGCTCCGAGCTAGTCGCACACGCATCCGTTGGCGTGCTACTTGGGCTACTGCTACTCACTCTATAATGTTGCCGTTTCTCAGAAAATATTTAGGCGACCATGGGACAAGAGCAACGCATAAAAGTATAAAAGACTCACCTGCTTAACGAATGCTGAGAGTGGGAACTACCGGATGCCTGCGACATCGCCTGTCCGCGAATATTTCCCACTCCTGTGCCGATATTTATTCCCATACTTCGCGGACTACTCGCCCTTTCGATTGGAGCTGAAAAATTATTATCGTTAATTAAGATGATTATCATAATTTGAAGTCAATTGAAATCAAATTATTTTCTATAATATAAATTATATAATATAAATTATAAAGTTAAGTGATTAATATCAGAACTTACCAACAACTCCGACCATTTTAGTTGTGGTCATATACTTAGAGCCTTTTGCTTCTTTGCTGCTACTATCATACCAATTTAACACATCCAATACAGCTTGCGGGTTTTTCTTCTGTTCCTGCTTGCTGATATTGCTGGACATAAGTAATCTTGCCCATGCCTCCGGCATACCCTAAGAAACAAACATGTACTGTTAAATAATGATTATCATGTTAAATAATGATTTAAACAGATGATAAGTAACTCGATGAGTTTGACAAGATAACACTAGTTTATTAAAATACATCTAATGTACTAATCCTAGATTTGATTTTCGAACATGCAATTATTACGAGTAGAAAAACAAAGATTGAGAAGGTCGTTTCTGTGTCATGTTATTTGTAGATATTAATAATAAGGAATTTCAATCATATATTATATAAACAAATTCATATTTGCTTAATCAAGAAATTAGTTTAGAATTCTTGTAAAATATTTGATACAACTCCTTTCTGTGAGTTATTATTAATTTTTGTATGAAAAGAAATTGAAAATATTTTAAACTTTGATTAGTTCCTTGAATGTGTATATGTGTATGTGAAAGATTATGAAATTTTAAAGATTCAATCTATTCAAAGATTCAAAACTATTTAATTTTCTAAGATTACTATATATATATATATATATATACATACACATACATGCACAATACATGTTTGAACTTTAAGTTAAAATAATTTATAAACAGAATTTCTAAATATAATTCCCATCCATTGTCGAAAATCATTCTGTAAAAAAGAAATGAATATTGTTGTATGCAACGTCGACTAAAGCTTATATCAATCTACAAAAGCAACTATATATTGATAAAACTTGATATACTCGTAAATGAAAAATAAACATCTAAATCTGAAAAATAAACATCTAAATCTGAAAAACCGCAACGAAAAGAAAGTGTCAAACCACGTAGTGTAAATGTATGTACAACATAAAGTACAGGCAAACTTAATATTAATTTACTTACTTTCAGTGGCAGCTTGGAAAGAAATACGTGTTTTGTTAGTTTCGTCATGTGGAAATAATAAGATATAAGAAGCATTAGACAAATTACCAAAGTACCGTACTCGAAATGTTCAATGTGAACCAGTGTCTTATATTTCATTTTGATCAGGCACGGAAGATCTATATGATGTATGTGCGTGTGTGTGTGTGTGTGTGTGTGTGTGTATACACACACACTCATATGAAAAAATATAGAATAGTTATAATATTTAATAGAAAGGAGCCAAGGATAATCTACAATAAAAAATTTGTATAAAATTTGTATAAAACAATAATAAAGAACTTGATAACATAAAAACTTTTTCATTGTTTTCCATCTCTTCCATAGATGATCCGCACCATGATACAACAGCGAAGCGTTAAGCGAGTGCACTTGATAATAGGTGTTTAAAAGTGACTGTGCAAATCGTAAGTCGCAGGAACCTACCGTGAATTCACCGGTCACAGCATCGAACCCGACGTGAACGGTGTGCTCGAAGTTCGTGGGATAACTGATGTTGGGTTTGTCCTTATTCTCCTTCACCTTCATCTTACTCTTCAGAGTCTTCTTTTTACGCTCGTCAGAATCTGGCTCCTTAGGCAGTGGACGCATGTCCACCGGTAGATTAGGCGCTGATTCCCCCCTAAAAATGCAAATGATATTAACAGATTAATCACAGTCATAATGTAATATGATTATTCATACAATTATTTTATTATATTGTCAAATCTTTACATATATTAATGTTATACTTATATGATTTTTTATAGAGGACTTTTTAATTAAACATAATTATATTAAAAATAACTGTATCTTATTACACAAATAAATATTTTTCTTGTTAATATTATAACTTATAATTATCTTATATATCATAAATTTCTATGGTGAAATTTGTAAAAAAAGAAAATTTCTCTCGTTACTGTAACTTGTAAAATTGACTTATATTACAAAATTTTATGATAAAACTCATAAAGAAATAGATACAAATAAAATTAAGAACTAAGAATACTTTTGCTGTCATCAATATCATGGAATACATGTAAATTTGATTTGGCTGATGTAGATATATTTAGATGTTCTGACAGTTTGCAGTCTCTCAAATCTTGAGGACAACGTCGGGATTACGTCTAGACATCTTTAATGATGGTCTCCCACAACAGAAAGCTACCGAGAGATATTTTTAGCAGCCCATAGCTTAATGCCTTTCTATTTTTGGAGAATACACACTTTTGTTACAGAAAACATAAAAGTTATGACAACTTGTACTATTATTTATAATTATGGATTATATATTAAAAAAAAATTTATTTCAATTATCTATGTAAATTATTGTGAACTTTATAAAACACTGTAATAATTTTGACACATCAACTATGCTGCGAAATTGATTGATATCAATAACCTTTTTTTGAACATAAACATGAATATAAATAAATTTAGTCGTATATAAATCTTGAAGAATAAATCTTGTAGAAATGAGATTGACACTCTATAGCATCCGATTCTCTTTTGACAGATCAATTAACGATGCCACAGATCATACTAGGTAGATAATAACACATACCTGTTAGATGTCAATCGAACAGGGGGTGCAGGGGGTTTGTCCTCCTCATCTGACATGTTGTATCCGCTTCTGGTTCTTTGTTGCCAGTCTATCTTCCGTTGCTGCGTCTCTGTGCCTTTAATCGAAGCCGCGTTTCATTAACGCGTGCACGTCTATATAAATATACTTATATATAATCGCGCCCTCGTTCCGTTGGGACTTTCACTTTCGATACCGTTATCTTCTCGAGGAAGAGGCTCCTCTCCGGGTCTGTCGTCGACAACGACAACGTCGTTGCCCAGTCCCGGTAACGATCGCGAGATTCCTCGGAAGGCACACCCCGGCAGGTAGAGAATCGCAGGTGGAAGTTCTCTCACCGCGCCGCGAGAACAGCCTTCATCACAGAACACCGGGTACCGGCTGTGGAACCCGCACGGGACGAGTCATGGCGATCGAGAGGGCCGGAGCGAGGATCGGAGCGACTCGGTGGCTTCCTCGTGGGTATCGCTCTTCTCGATCAGCGCCGAGAGACGCCACTAGCCTTAGGCTAACTGAGGCTAACAACTATGTCTAGCTGGCTTGGAGCCCGCCGTTCTCCCCAGTTCTCCCTCGATCGGGGTGGCTGTTGATGCTGCTGCTGGCCTGGCTATCCGTCAGTGGTGGCGTCTGACGACGACACGACGACACGACACACGGGTCAATGTCGTAGCGAGCACACTCGAGGTCAACGGGAGAGAGAGAGAGAGAGAGAGAGAGAGAAAGAGAGTGAGAGCGTTTCTAAAGCGTGATTCACGCACGGGTGCAGGCACCCCGCATCCGCAGATCTTACACCTCGTTCTCCCTCTCCCTCACTCACTTTCTCTTTCTTTCTCTCTTGCTTTTCTCCAGTTACCTATCTTGCTCTCTCGCTCGCTCTCGCGCGTGCGCCCTTTCTCTTGCTTTCCTTTTCTTTCTTTCTCTCTTTCGGTTTTACTCCCTCGTGACGACGACTCCTATCACGTCGCGTTCACTCCTGCTCGACCGTGAGAGAAAAAGCACGATAACAGCACGATAACAGGAGTGGAGGATACATGATGACTAATGGCGGATCTAGAATATTTAGATATAAGGATTAATTATTGGAATATGTTAATTATATTTCTTCGAAATCCTAAATAATTAAAAAAAAACTTTTAACATTTTTCTAAAAATTTTTTTTTACAATGCAGGACTGCAATATAGGAATCTAATTCCCCGATGGCGCCACTTTATTCATACGTCAGTAATCCCTCTTTCTCTATTTTTACAAGAATCTCTTCTCTCTTTCTCTCTCACTCTTTCTCTCTAACTTCACTGATTTCAATGCACTTCAATACTCCAGTCCATTCCTTCTCCATATTTTCCTGTTTTCCTTAATCCCTTTCGCTTACATCAAGTTCGAGATTCCATGCAATTCAACTGGGAGGGATTAGAAAAAATTGTGAAAGCTTCCTCTCACCATTCCTCTCTCTCTCTCTCTCCTTCTCTCTTTCTCTTTCTCGCTTAAAATCTATCACACACAAAATGACATAATGATATATATTTTATACATTTTTACAAGTCATTCAATTCAAATAGGCCATTTCAACGACAAATAGTGTGTTTAATTTGCTGACTCGACTCAATTCCGAGTCAATAGTCTGTTCTTTTTAGTAGAAGAAGAGCTAAACTGTACGAGAAATGCAGATAAAAAGAACAGACTCGGGTGAAGTTAAATCCGAAAAGCTGGACAAAATTCCAAATAAAAAATAAATAAACATAAGTTGATTCACGAAGACTCCTTAATAATCATCTTTTTTTTTAAATAAATAAATAATAAATAATAAATAAATAATAAATTCGATTTAAATGAAAATAGAGTTTTACAATACCAAATACGATAAATGCTAAAGTCACATTATTTAATTGATTAGTCCGAATCTACTAGATTTTTAAGCCATAAGAAAAGAACGAATCAATTATTTTCCTCGCATTCGACCAGTAATTGATCAATTTCTTCGACTTAAGGCTCAAACACCTATTGTAGATCCGGATTTAACGGATCACGTGATACAAGCGTGTCGCAATCCAATCACAGCTTAAGCTAACTCGATTCTGATTAGTCTACAATGCTTGCGACGCTGCCAGCTGGCTTTAAGATATCTTCTCATGTCGTCTTTTGATCTTTTCATGTCGTCGTTTGATGCTCATTTTTAGCGTCAACACAAGTCATTTGATCAAAATTAAAGCTTGATTTTCCATTGGCTGCATTCAGCAGAAAAAGCAACTTTGCAACTGTTATAAAATTCTTTAACATGATTGGTCTTGCCCTTAGTTCCTGATTAGATCTAACGTACATGGTGTATTTACATCATGTAAATGTATAAACCAATCATATTCAAGAATTTTACAACAGTTGCAGAGTTGTTTTCTCTGTTGAACGCAGCCATTTATTATCATTTTGGCTGTGATCAAAGTCTCGTTACAAATGCTTTAAAGCATTTGATGGACGAATTAGAAGAAAGAATTTTACAAACTGACCAATTAAAAAACGCTTCAAAAAGTTTTGCAGCATCGCGTTGATTGTACCTTTTGTTTTGATGCTAAAAACAACGTCGAGCTTCAACATGAAAAGCCCAATCATCTTTAGCTCAAATTCTCATACAGACATTGGTGCTCTACACAAAGCGTTGATTGGCGAAAAAAACCAATAAAATTTACCTCTATCATTTCCACCAATCACGCTCGGTGTCAAAAGCATCTGTATGAGAATCGGGCTTAACTGCGAAGCAAGTTTAATGCATTGTGAGCATGCGCACTTTCATCACTCTTTCTTCCTCTTTCTTTCCTTGGTTTTCTCTCTTGCGTGGTCCGTGGTCGTGTAAATTTTCGTGGGTCCCCGGAAGAGCTACATCGGATGGCGATCTTGTACGTTTCATTCGCGCGATTCCATCATTAAACGTATCATGCATTGTCTCATCGTATCACTCGGATAATCATCGTAAGTTTTGCGTTTACTCGTAATATCGATGATACTTTTCGCGCGTACCGGCTTTCGTTGAAAGAGAAAGAGACAGAGAGAGAAAGAGAGTGGCGCGACGGGCTTCCTCCATGTAATTCGCCGTAACCACGTGCTTGAAAATATTGTCGATCGGATCGGCTCGCGTGTAATTATCTGTAAGTATCCTCGAATCACCGAAACGCGAAATCAGCCGCGCTTGGACGTCCTGCTCTAGGATTCCGGGATTACCTGGGATCCCTTTCCCTTTGTCGTCATTAACGTGCTGAAATAACGTTGGCTGCTTCCAGAGCGCGCGATAAGGCATCGAGAATATTCGTCGCGTCCGAACAGAGGTATGCCGAAATGACGGAGTTCGTGGACGGCTGGTTCCTGGGTCATACCCTGGGCGAGGGTGCCTACGGCGAGTACGTCTTTCCATTTTTTTCGTCCTTTGTTAAATCTTTGTTGAGTGACGACTACGCACTTCCGCATTCTCCCACAGATATTCGGTCGTGATTTTCGAGATCCATTGTTCCTATTGTTCGGAGCACGTTGTTGAGATACTGGTGTCCGTTTCTATCAATATAATTAAAAATTTTAATTTCTGTTTATGTAATTTACTTTTGCTGATTCTAAGAATAAAAAATAAAAAATAAATAAATTAAGAGCCAAGATTAAATTTAATCTACATTGATAAATTAATTTTAATCTTTGTTTTTAACTTATCATTTTTCTTTTTTTTTTTTCAGTTTTAAACTTTAGAAAAAAATGAAGAGCAAATTAAATCGTGATTAAAGTTAATTTATATTGATAGATTAATTTTTATCTCTGTTTCGCTTAATTTTGAGAAAATTAAAAAAAGGTAAAGAGTAAATTAAATTAAGATTAAAGCTAATCTGCTTTGGTAGAAGTAGACATCAATTAGTTTCCAGTATAGAATTTTTTTTGTTAATATATCATATCACTTCCATTCATAATTGTTTATAAACAAATTCTTTTTTTATATTTGGGAAAAAGTGGAACAATTATAAAAAATAGTTTAACGTACGTTGTTGGGATTTTATAATTTGATATTTTTTGTACAGGGTTAAACTAGTTGTAAATAAATCTACAGGCGAAGCTGTTGCTATGAAAATGATTGACATTGAGAAACATCCGGACGCGAGACAAACAGTACGCAAAGAAACTGCTATTCATCGTATGTTGTCAAACTCTAACATTATACAATATTTTGGAAAACGTAGCGAATCTAATATGGAATATATATTTCTGGAGTATGCCTCGGGCGGAGAATTATTTGATAGAATTGGTAAGATACAACTAGAATAAAATAATACATTGTAAAATAATATTTTATAAAATAATACCTTGTAAAATAATACTGAAATATGTAGAGCCCTTATTAGATTGAATTGGAATTTCCACAATCAGAAGAAGAAAGTCAATATGATGAACTTTGCTTTGATTGGTCAAATTCCAATCCAATCTTAATCTAGTAGGACATAAAGTCGTGATTAAACCAGAGATATTAAGATTAGATTGAAATTTAACTGGTCAAAGTTTGAGGTTTTCTCTTTTTATTAGTTGAATTCCAATCTAATCTCAATCCTAGTTTCTAATTTTAATCATGATTTAAGAAAATTATAAAAAAATGAAAGACTAAATTTCATTACAGAACCTGATGTCGGTATGCCGATGTGGGGAGCTCAGAAGTATTTTAGACAATTAATTTCTGGCGTAGAGTATCTACATAGTCGCGGAGTTGCGCATAGAGATCTCAAACCAGAGAATTTACTTTTAGATAATAATGATAATTTAAAGATAAGTGACTTTGGATTAGCGACAATATACCGTATGCAAGGTAAAGAACGTCTTTTGGAAAAGAAATGTGGTACTCTGCCTTATGTTGCACCAGAGGTGCTGGTAAGAGCATATCACGCAGAATCTGCAGACATATGGTCTTGTGGAATTATTCTCGTGGCTTTGTTGGCTGGAGGTAAATGCGCTGTAAAATTGCATACATAAAATATTAAAAAATTATTGCTTCATCGATCTTTAATAATCTTCATGTTAATCTCATGAATAAATATATGCAGTTGATTTATTGATTTTACTCCACATTGAAACTTGTGATTGTCAGTTGAAAAACTGCAAAGAAATTTCATAACATTCAAGTCAATGTGCCTTTAATTTGAAATTTATTGAATATCTAATATTTAACTTACATTCCTTAGTTTTTAACTGGTCCATATCTGAAATATAGAACTGCCATGGGACCAACCCTTGGCAGAGTGTCCTGAATATATTGCATGGAAAAACGGAAAATATATGTCTCTTACACCGTGGAAAAAACTGGACAATTCGTCATTATCATTAATAAGAAAGATCCTTATGGACTTGTCATCGGCAAGATACAAAATGTCGGACATTAAGCAACATAGGTGGTTTGTCACGAGTTTTGCCAAAGGTAAAATTGCATTTTGGATCGGACTGTTAGAAAAATAGATTCAATATTTAGCATAAGTATCCTGCATTTTTTAAAATTAATATCCCTGGAAGATTAACATTGGAGGCATCTGGATAGTGTTTACTTAGTCAGGTACTGAGTGACTCTGAGTATTAATAAAATTACTCAAAGGAACTCTGTACCTAATTTAGTGGATACTGCATACAACGAATTCTTATCGCTTTTTTACGTGAGTGCTTTATTAATATTAATTAGGATTAGAAAGCATTATTTAACAACATAGATTTTGTAGTCAGCAGAGCTCTTGCCTTTTCTTTGGTAATACAGCTCTATGAGTTTAATTTAAGTATCATAAAGCTAGATTACCAAAGCAGAGAGCATTGGCATATACTTCTAAGATAACATATGTAAATTTCAACTGAGTTTTATGTAGAATGACATTGTAATAATTGATTGAGTTTGATAAGTAAACTATATTTTTTGTGCAAAGTCTTGTATTTCAATAAGTATTATGTTTTGCACATAAAATACAGATACGAATGAAGTATTTATAATTTACAGGTGATGAAGCAGACGGACGTAATTATCGAATAGAGGATGAAAATCTAAGAAATGTTTGTTTGTCCCAACCTGAATTCCCAGGGATGGAAAGTGATACAATTCAATTCAATTTGGACAGACGTCCAACGTTTTCATTTTCTCAACCCGCTCACGTAGAAGATCTTTTATTGGGTACACAGTTACAATTTACACAACCCAGTCAGGTAAGATCTTTACTAAATGGATTTTGAATTAATTTATCGTTACATTGATAAAATATTTCTTATATAATATTAAATAATTTTATGTTCTGCAGCAAAACCCCTTCCAAAGATTAGTTCGTCGAATGACTAGATTCTTTGTTAAAACAGAATGTAAAGAAATTGTAAAGAGGCTAATAAAATATTGCGAGAAAGAGAATTACGCTTATCGCAATAATGAGTCTGGCGTGGTAAGACATTACATAATACAGAAATAAATTCAAAGAATATTGAATGATAATGTCGCATGTTTACAGGTAACGATATCGACTGTAGATCGACGTAAAATGTCTCTAGTTTTCAAAGTGAATTTTATGGAAATGGACGGAAATATATTAGTCGATTTTCGGTTGTCTAAAGGATGTGGTTTGGAATTTAAAAGAGCGTTTATTAAAATCAGATGCGCAATGGAAGATATTATTCTGAAGAGTTCCGTAGTATATTCGAAGAGTTAATAATGACAAACTCACAAATAATTATATGTATAGAAATGTAATTTGTATTTTTTTAAATATATTTTTTATAACATTTTTAAAATCCTTGATTCTCTGTGCTATATCTCTTTCTCTCTCTCATGTCTTTAAATAATTTTATAGTTAATGTATTAAAAGTTAATTTGTTTCTGCCTTGATTAGATTTTTATTGTTATGATGATTATGAATTGTTTATGATATCAAGCACATTCGCTTTGTGGAAAAAAGAATGAATAAAATGATACTTTCATCGTTCAAAGTATATATTATGAATATGTTTGAAAATTCGCTAACTACTAAAAATCTAAAATATATATATCATTATATTTAATACATTTAATTTGGACAAATGAATTATTTGAAGCAATAGCTTTGTGTAATCTATCAATGATCTAAAGAGTCTATTGATTTATTATTATATTTACTACTAATAAAAATAATAAATAATGTTAGTAATACTAATAATTGAGCTATTTCTTTTTTATTTTTATATTTATTTCATTTTATATATGTTGTACTCCTAGAATTCCTCATGATGGTGGAGTTCCTTCTACCATAGTCTTTATAGTCCTCATTGCCAATGAAATAACTGTATAATATCTGAAGATAAAAAAGAACTGTATAAAAAAAGAAGCTGCACGTACAAAATTACGTTATGTGCATTTCGTTTTCACGTTATAAGCATCATTTTATCTATGTATCTATCGAATATTAAACAAGTATAGGGTTGTAAGTGTTAATATGAACACATCCATTATTAATTAACAATTTAAAAAAATCATATTCGTCATGCATTAGCATAATTGAACAAAAAATTGATTATTATGTAGTTCAGGGTCGATGTATTATCTTGAAATAAAATAAAAATTACAAAAGTGAGCAAATTCTTTAGAATACTTATAATTTCATTGATCAACAGAATTTATTCACCTAGAATTTATTCACTTTTGTAATTTTCAATTCATTCAAGATACACAATCGACTGTTGATTTCCAATCTTGTTAACGCGACGTCTATGGAAGAGATGTAGCATCGCACCGCAGCGCTACCTTTGTGCCAAGCTTGTAATTTGTATGCGACGAGTACTCCGACGCATGCGCACGCAGTCGTTGTAGCGACGCTGTGTCTGTTGGTGAGAGCAGCGACACTCCGCGGTCCTCATTTAATTCCGTGCCCGAGCATTTTGTCAATTTCATCGAAATGGATCCAGTAAAAATGTCTATGCAGCCGCATAGCAGGAAACGTGTCTGCTACTATTACGACAGTAAGTTACCGAAGAAAATCCACCGCACTTTGTGATCCCGCGAAAAACGCCGCATGCACACATACACGCGTGGGGGGAAGCTTGTAAAATGTGTTTGCGCCGTTCGCGCTTACCGCCTCTATTTCACATTGTCTAATTCGATATCCGTTAATGTTTTGCCCCATTTACGACTTGTCAGTAACAAATCTGTCGAAGCACGATCTTCGTAGCGTGTTATATCATAATTTTCATACTTTCCGAAGTAGATAATACGATTTTTGTAATGTTAAGACGACAGATTCTCAACTGCGGCTACGTACGATCGTAGACAAGCTTGGGCAAGAGTGTCGGCCATTGCTATATATATGTACAGTCACCGTATACTTAAGCACCTTTGGCGTTATCGAATCAATATATCTCGTACACATTACAAATAACAATTTTATAATCTATCCCTGATGATTGCAGCTGATAATCGAAGAATTTGATTTGATATATCGCCTAATCGATCTTTTATAGGAATTGGATCGTACAATAAAACTTGGACGTTCCACAAGTCATGAATTTTTTAATATATATTACCATATGTGGCGATAATTATTCACATTATGCTTCGAACTGTAACTCTTCTTAGTCGCGAGACAAAGGTTTTGTCATGAAAAAAGCGAAATTAGTAGTCTGAATCTCTGATAACAGTAGGTTAGGTTATGAGAAATATAGTGCGATTTTATGTGATTATTGACTAATACGAACTGCAAGAAATCATTTCTCGTATGTAATTCACGCTTGCCGAAGAGATTTCCCTCTAAAAATGGAATCTCAGCGAACGGTGCGACAGTTGATACTGTTTTTGTGGGGTTAACGCGAGAGACTCTCAGGTGTGCTCCGACACATCGTAGCTCGTCACCAACTTACGTTGCTTGATAGGTCTATTTTTTTTTATTGCTGCAGTAAACTCTACACTATACATTAGAATTTTCTTTCTCGCTTTAGCCAAATATCAAACATATTTCACTTATTTCACTTTAGTTCTACAAGTTTATAAAAATTTTATATTTTATACTAGTTTTATACTAGTTTAACTATAAAAAATAGATAATAATAGCCGAATATTTCATGTCTTGAATATTCGGTTCATTTATGCACAATTCTTTAATATGTCTAGGTGATATTGGAAATTACTATTATGGTCAAGGACATCCTATGAAGCCACATCGTATAAGGATGACGCATAATTTACTTTTGAACTATGGACTTTATAGGAAGATGGAAATATACGTAAGTAATATAATAAATATATGTAAAAATATATGTATATCGTTTTCAGATTTTTAATCTTACAAAAAGCACAGTTAGAGTGGTCGTCAAAAGTTTCCAGCCAATGAATTTCATTGTATTTCTCAGATAAAGAATCTTTACAAATAAAGATCTAATATACAAGTATTTTTAATATTTATTTAAAATATGTTCTTAAGTTAATTGATACAAGAATTTTATTAACTTACAATAAACTGAAAAATAAAGTGACAAATTATCGTAAAATTATGTTGACTGGAAATTTTTGACAGCCACTGTATATATTTTATTATTGAATGAAATATTATAATTTAATTATTGTTATTTACTTTATTGTTGTTTTAGCGGCCTCATAAAGCCACAGCAGATGAGATGACGAAATTTCACAGTGATGAATATATTAGATTTCTGAGGTCTATAAGGCCAGATAATATGTCGGAATATAACAAACAAATGCAACGATGTAAGATATCATTATTGGATAAATTATAATTATTAATACTGAATTCGAAAGCATTTATTGCATTTTTTTTCTTTCTACATTAGTTAATGTGGGAGAAGACTGCCCCGTTTTCGATGGTTTGTATGAGTTTTGTCAATTATCAGCCGGCGGATCTGTAGCCGCTGCTGTAAAACTTAATAAGCAAGCTTCTGAAATCTGCATTAATTGGGGCGGCGGTTTACATCATGCAAAAAAGAGCGAAGCTTCCGGCTTTTGTTATGTAAATGACATTGTGCTTGGAATATTGGAATTGCTGAAGTATCATCAGAGAGTTTTGTATATCGATATTGATGTTCATCATGGCGATGGCGTAGAAGAAGCTTTTTATACAACAGATAGAGTAATGACTGTTTCATTCCACAAGTATGGCGAATATTTTCCTGGAACAGGAGATCTTCGTGATATTGGGGCAGGCAAGGTAAAAAAAAAAAAATTACTTTATTCATACAATGCATTTAAAATAATAAATCATTAAATGTATTTCTTATTATTAAAAGGGAAAATATTATGCGGTTAATATACCTTTGAGAGATGGCATGGATGACGATAGTTATGAATCAATCTTTGTCCCTATCATCTCAAAAGTGATGGAAACATTTCAACCCTCTGCTGTTGTTCTACAATGTGGGGCTGATTCATTGACTGGTAAGACTTTAAAAAGTAGTTATTATTACAATGAAATTATAAAACTTTTCATGTAAATATTAATTGTAGGCGATCGACTGGGATGTTTTAATTTAACTGTAAGAGGCCACGGTAAATGCGTGGAATTTGTGAAAAAATATAATTTGCCTTTCTTGATGGTTGGAGGTGGTGGTTATACCATCAGAAATGTGTCCAGATGTTGGACGTACGAAACATCGGTTGCTCTCGGCTGCGAGATCGCTAATGAGCTTCCGTATAATGATTATTTTGAATATTTTGGCCCAGACTTCAAATTACATATTAGTCCATCGAATATGGCGAACCAAAACACTCCTGAATATCTAGATAAAATAAAGTAAGCATTCTCGCAATACTATGTTTAGTTTGATATGGATATTATAACAAGCTAATTCATCATTGCATTTATTCATAGAACGAGGTTGTTTGAAAATTTAAGAATGCTACCTCACGCGCCTGGCGTACAAGTCCAGGCAATACCGGAGGATGGTGCGGTTATTGAAGACTCGGAAGCTGAAGAGAAGACAAATCCAGACGATAGATTGCCCCAACGCGAGCTAGATAAAAGAATGCAACATGAAAACGAATATAGTGATAGTGAAGATGAAGGCGAAGGCGGGCGAAGAGATAATAGATCGTATAAGGTATCATCTTTATTCTACTAAAACGTAATGGTTATAATGCACAGAGCCAGCGATCTGTGTGTGGAGTGGTAAGTCATTCACTCTACACATGTGAATTTGGCATGTGTTGAATTTCCACATACATTGAGCTATATCTAAGCTAAATTTTTAATGAGTAATTTATTGGATTTTTTTTATTGACGATATCTCAATGAACAATGCTGCGCGCTCTGATTGGATCTTGGTGGAATCTCCTTTTCTCTGGACGATCACTCAAATATGACAAGGACCACATTTGATGTAGAGACAGACGTATACGTGAATACAATGCTCCGAAATAATTTGAACAACCATAATTAATTTTTTTAAGGAAGAAGAGAAATTGAAATGATAGATTTAGAAGAGCTTATAAATAAATTCATAAATAAAAAAATAATATTCGATGAGTTCCATTTGCAATAAATAAATAATTGAAAGAAACCAAATACATATGTGTACTTTATTTACTTTTTATTTATTATTATATATGTAATATATAAAAAATTTATTATTTTTAAATTTAACTTTAACTAAATCCCCCCGTACATTGACCACTTCATACATATGAAAGATTTATTTCGTTGGCTCTGATAATGCATAATTCTACAGATTTAGAAAAATACGGTTGTAAAAATATTCTTATTTTATTCTCAT